AGAAAAGGCTTTTTCAGTGTTTATTCAACAATCTTTGGAGGAAAGACATGCTAGAAACTTTTCTAGGTTCTCCTGTAGTCTGGATGAAATATTCTCAAAAAATCAGCCAAGTCTTTTTGCGCTAATTCCTTGCTTACTCAGCAAGCATCTGACTATTAATTAAATTGGTATTATGGTTTTAAAATGAGTCTTTTATAATTTGCTCACCATTAATCAAACCCCCAGGGTTTATTAAGTCTGAGGGGAGCTGACAAAATTGAATTCTTTAACCTGCAAAGATCCAGAGCCTCAAAATACTGTCATCCCCCTCCCATTCCCTTTAAGACCCAGTTCAAGCACTTAGCCAGCTAGTTCTCCACTCTGGCTAATCAGCTTACTTGAAATAATATTAGTGGGCATTTCAAGGTCAACAAATCGCTGACTGGCAGTTGACATGCACCCTCAGAAAATAAATAAAGAATAAAGAGTTTATGATATTTTAAAAATTAATATTTAAACCTGTCCATTATAAGGGAGAGGGCAGGAAAACCTTAAACTAGGAAGAGGCTTGAGTTATTCATTAACTACCATATATTTTGTAGTAGGAGGAGGAATGTCATCATCAAATTAGTCTTTTTTACCTCAATTAAACATCTAGGCTATAGTCTCGTGGTCAGATTGTGAAGAAAACAGTCTGTGGCTAAGAAAGAACATAAATTTATTCCATAAATGTTTTCCATAATGCTCCTTTTGTTTTCTGGTACTGGGTCATACTATTGCTGATATTCACTCTAGAACACAGCCTTTACAGCAACCACTCAGGCTCGGGCATCCAGTGACCTTTGACCTTAATTCAGCCCTCTTGGCAGATCCCATGCAGCCGTCTAAATAAACATGAAAAAAGCAGACCCCTTATCTTAGTGAGTCTATGTTTAGCCACATAAGCCTTTCTCATCACGAATTGCCTCTCAGGCAGGAAACACTGGACTTTTCTTGTACTTGTCGTTGCCATTTGTTCCACTCAAACATCCTTTGACCAAGAATGCATTCCCACTCTCTTTTATGCTTTTTCCTTCCTACGTCTCAAATGAAACATCGTCAGCTTCTCCTGGGACTCTCTTACTTTCATTTCAGACTATCTACATTTGATTATTAGGTCTCTGCCAAAATTTTCTCTTTTTTTATATTAAAAAAAGTCTCTATCTCTGTAAGTTTATCAATGACTCTACAATCAGATTCAGTATGCTTCTCCCTAAATTCTGAATTGCCTCACTATTCCTCCACATCCTTATCTTATTCAAATTCAAATTTTATTCATGATTTCCAGGTTAATGACAGTTCAGAAGGCAAGAAGTCAAAGTGGCCAAGGGCATGAGGCTTGGAGATCATGATAATGCAGTGAATTACAGAATCAGATATAACCGATGTCAATAAGATGAAGTAGTAGGGTGGAACTAACAGGATGAGATGCATCGGGCATAAACATAGGTTCCCAATTTAGGTTAAAATTCATAAATAAAAAATTAACACAATGAGATATCACCTCATATTTATTAGAATGGCTATCATCAAAAAGAAAAAAAGTGTTGGTGAGGTTGTGGGGAAAAGAGAACCCCAGTGCACTATTGGTAGGAATGTAAATTGGTGCAGCCACTATGGAAAACAGTATGAAGATTTCTTAAAAAATTTTAAAGAGAACTACCTTGTGATTCATCAATCCCACTTCTGGGTATTTTTCCAAAGGAAATTCAAACAAGATACTGAAGAGATATCTTCACTCCCATGTTCATTGCAGCATTATTCATAATGGTCAAGATATGAAAAAAAAATCTACATATTCATCAATGAATGAATGGATAAATAAGAAATATATATATATAATGGAATATTACTCAGCCATGAGAAAGAATGAAATCCTGCTATTTGACAACATGAATGGACCTTGAGAGCATTATGCTAAGTGAAATAAGCCAGATAGAGAAAGATAAATACTGCATGGTATTACTTATGTATGGAATCTGTAAAAAAAAAATAAAATAAATAAACAAACAAAAATCATAGAAACAGAGAATTGAAAAGTGGTCGCCAGGGGCTGGGGAGTGAGAGTAACAGACTTATAGCTATAAGAAGAACCAAGTGTGAGGACCTAATGTAAAACATGGTGACCGTAGTTGATAACTCTGTTATATAATGAAAATTGCCAAGAGAGTAGAACTTAAATATTCTCACACACACAAAAATATAAATATGTGAGGTATCGGATGTGTTAATTAACTAGATGATGGGAATCCTTTCACAATGTATACACATATCAAATCTTACAATTTTATTTGTCAACTATACCTCAATAAAGCTGAAAAAATAAAATAATATTTGCAAATGATAAAAGCACAGAATGATGGATAATATATGGTGATTTTTATATGATTGTGACCAAGTCACAATGGGTAGTGTTATGGCGAAGTGGGGGAGTGAGTTATAGCTACTACAGTTTCAGACGCACTCAGGGTGCCTCATTTGCAGTAGGGTCTCTTTGCCAAGGGAAGTTTCAATGTCGAGTGTGTTGGGCTAACCCCATCCAGAAAATGTGTCCCATTCAGAACATCCCTATGTAGAGAAATATTGACCAATGGGAGTATATGAGGAAGAAGTTTCTAGGTGGTAAGGATTCCAAGAACTGTGTCTGAAGAGGAATCATTTCACATATGTGGAATCTAAAAACAAAAAACAAAACAAAAAATAGAATCAGATACAGAGATACAGAGAACAAGCTGATAGTTATCAGAGGGGACTGATGTGGAGGAATAGGAATTTTAAAAAATTATATGAAGAAAGGATAAATAAATAAATGAGTGCAGAGCCTGTTTGCCTCTGAAATTATCGACCCAGCAAATTTCAGGATTAGGACAACACGGGGTGACTAAAACAAACAAACAAGAAAAGGGTTCGTTCAAAGAAGTAAGAATGTTTCTTTGGCAAAAACAAAATAAGCTGTCATTCACTACTTGATTGGCTATAGGAAGAACATCAGTTGCAAACTCAAATTTCCAAGAAGCCAGGCAGAAACACAGATGAGAGAGACAGGACATGGAAACAAAAAAAATTCAAGCATGATAGTGCCACTAGGAATGTTCCCTGGCCTCAGAGTTGAAAGGCAGATCTACAGAGTTGAAATGTCTGAGAGTGAGAGCACACTGATTATCGTCACGTGTGAATATGGGCCTCGTACTGCCATTTTTTCTCATTTCTCAAGAGAAACCAGAAATTCAAATTTTTATGTAACACATCTCAATTTTTTATTTTAGCAACTAGTTCAAATTTTTTAATGAAATATTCCATGGGCCAAACATATCTATGGACTGGTGTCAGCCCAGAATTGTAAGTTGTAATGTCTATGACCTTTCTAGGTTTCGACAGAATGTAGCACTAAGATGCATTGATGGAAGATTTGCTTGAGATATGACAGAATTTTCAAATGTTTGGAATTCATACAGAAAATAGGCTCTCCGTCCAAGTTCTGAGCAATGGGAAATAGTCAAGAGAATATTGGGTGACAATATATGAGATAAGTCAGAGAAAAGATTTTCTCAGCAGAGATGTTGAACCAAATTATGTTATAATTACAATTTATACCAGAAAAGTGGTTTACAATTTACAAAGAGCTTTTATATCAAATCATATTAAAAGTTATTATAACAGTTCTTTAAGCGGAAAAGTAGGTATTTCTATTTCACAAATGAGTAAGCTGAGTATCTGTGATATTAAATAACTCAAAGAAGGTCATCTGAAAAACTAGGCAGCAAAACTAGGAACTGGATGACTCAGGTCATCTCACTCCAAAATTCAAAACCCTTTCCAGTGCTACTTCAGACTCTAAAGCTATAAGATTCCAGTCCTAGCTATGCTCTGAACTGGATTTGTTCATCTCTTTCCTTCATGATCTCTTGTTGAGTTTATTCCAACCCAAATCTGTCAGCCATAGGAACACTCCTACAACTCTCGGTACTCTAAACTGGACCACCCTTAAAATGAATTTGTCCAAAATTTTTGTCTCTCTTCTCCATGTCTTCTATATATTTGTCTCTAAAAGGACAAAACCTGTCTTAATTAATCCATAAACAAAGCCACATACGCATATGCACAAACACATGTGCATAAGAATTGGTACTTGATCATTGAATCATCAAATGATTATAATTCTTGGACATTTAAGTCAGCCAGGAGGAAGAGAATCTGTTGTCAATTGTGGATTCTAGTTCTCATAGTTGTCTTTCTTTTCTCCCAGAAATTTTGACTCTGACAAAAGCCAGCTGGGTAGCCTGGTTTCTGCATAGTCAGTGCAGGAGAAGCAGTGAAGAATATTTGGTTCTCTGTATTTTAGGCTCATCAGTGACAGTTTGTAATATATCATTATTCTTTGAATTGACATGAACCTTGTCTGGCTAGAACACCAAAATTGTGGAGAAACTGCTGACTAACAAAGCTTACAAATAACTTAGTTTGGCTAAAACATAGACTTTAAAAAATGTAACTACTGCCAAGAGTTTTTCCTTGCTAATTTATGGACATACATCAAATGCAATAATGTCTTCTAATGCACTTTATTTAAGCCTGTGCAGCCAAATATCATTTAATGTGAAACGAATTATTACAACTTGTATCTACCATTTAAACTGAAAGATAAACTGTATAGAAAATGGAAAACATGCATAGAAAAAGGTAAAGAGGAAAAAAATCCCAAGAATGTTGCTATATTTAGCCAGGAGAAAACAAAATATTTTTGTTTTGTTTTGATTGTTTTGTTTTTGGTCATTTAGCTAGTCAAATGACCTGTTAAGAATATTTCATAGCGCTAATGTTCCAACGCTTTAATCCCTCTAGGCAAGGTCCATATTTGTGTGGGTTACTTATTCTCCTTTTGTTGACTAAGTCAATAATCAGAATCAGCAGGTTTGGAGTCGGGTTGGCCAGGATCAGCAGCCTGGCTTGGGAGAAGTGAGTATAAAAACCCCAGGCTTGTCGAAACTATCACAGAGGCCGACTCATTCTTGGCAGGATGGCATCTCATCGTCTCCTCCTCCTCTGCCTGGCTGGACTGGTATTTGTGTCTGAGGCTAGCCCTGAGGTGAGTGCTTGATTCTGTGGAGTCCCTTTTATACATTTCCTATATACACTAGATGAAATAGAAGTGACTTCCTCCAGATTTGCCACAGCTTTTGTTATGAGGGCAAGGGTAGCCAGCATCTATTTTTAAACACCATTGATTCAAACTCCAGAAAGAATGATGTTCTGCAGAGCTCACTGAACTGGCGCTTGGATTCTGGGTGCTCTCTATCGCTCTGGTTCATCGGTGTTGCAATGCCTAGTGCCTCAAATTCCTCAGACAGACGATAAAAATAAAGATAGGATATTCACAAAGCTATTAATATTGAATTTTCAGAAATACATCCTCAAACAAAGTTTATTTCTTCTTAACTAATAAAAATATATTCATTGGTTAATCTTTGAAAGGCTTGGTGGGCAACATTCAAGTCAGACATCTGATTCTTAAGTCCCCTAGAATTAACTAATACTATCAAATGGATCATTATTTTACAATAACGAATAAGAGAATTACTACAGCAACAACTGACTAAAATGCTCTCAGGGAAAAACTACTTGGTTCTATGGCACATTACATCTTTTCAGTAATTCTCCTCAAATGGTGAGGCTTAACAAAGTAACTGTTCTCAGAGGGCCTATTCCCCCACCCTCACCATCCCCCAATTAATTGCACATGCCCCCAGTCCATTGCAGTGTATCTGGAAGCAGAAACCATTCTTGCTTTGGAAACAATTGTGTCTGTGTTACACTGAGTAAGGGAAGCTCATTAACTGTCAATACTTACATTGCTAGAAATGGGATTAGCATATACTCCCTGACTTGTTCCAGACTCCCAACACCATGAAGAATAAATCCTTTCACTCTGACCAATTTTGTTGACTTCTCACTTGTTTTCTCTATGCCCAGGGCACTGGCGAATCCAAGTGTCCTCTGATGATCAAAGTCCTAGATGCTGTCAGAGGCAGTCCTGCTGCCCATGTGGCTGTGGAAGTGTTCAAAAAGGCTGCTGACGAAACCTGGGAGCCATTCGCCTCTGGGTAAGCTGCCCAACAAACCCAGAAGTGGGGCTTCATTATATCTTTCCATTCGCCCACCACCTGTTGGAAAGAGGGGCTCCCATCCATTCACTTAAGAATTTACAAGTAGATTGACAATATAAGTAGAGGTCAAGTGGGTGTCCTCCTCTTGGTTGGCTTAGCTGGGAGTGATGAAGAACCTGGGCAGCATTTAGGGTAGATGATGGGGAAAAGAAGCAGCTGGCACCTCCTCTACTCCAGCAGTGGGTCACAGGTCACTGTAAGAAGGTGATATAAACTATGGATTCCATGCCCATAAAAATACACCTATACACACACATACAAAAATGCATATGTGATTTCAGGAGTTTCACAGATTCCTTTATGCCCTGGCATAATGCTCAAACTGACTTATTTGTCTCTTGGAATTTTAGGAAAGGTATACAATTTGTGTTAATTTGTTAATTAAAGGAAAAGAATTGCGGGGCAGCATTGACAAGGCACCTGTCTGCGGTTTATCAGGATCATCCAGAATCCAGGGCTTTTGTCTAGCAAATACTTAGGGAGCATCTGCTCTACATGGCTGGGGGCTGTCGAACTCAAAAAGAAAGGACACAAAAGAGAAAGACACATATGCACAGCACAGCCACAGGCCAATCTCACCATCACCCAACTGTCAAGTACAAGAATGACTTCTCACCTTCATTGGCACATTGGCAATTACAACATTGGCATATTAGTGAACCTAAACCAACTAACTGAAAGAAAAGAACCCTCAGCAGAAAGCAATACTACTAAGTGTTTCTATCTCTTGGGTTTTAATTGAATCCCAAGAACTACATTATGATTCTTCACCCATCATTGGGAAGATCATTTTCTTTGGTGTGGTTCCAATTGAGTTTGTATTTCTTAATTCATTTATGTTTATAAAAATGCCAAGCACATGTGGAAAGTAGTTAAGAAATATACTAAACAAGAGATAGAATGGATACCATGTGAATCTTAGGACAAGCCAGAAAAAAAGGAAATTAAATATTTTCTTCCTGGAAAAAAGAAAGGTAGAAAGGAATGGTCAGAGTCAATAAAGACAACTTCGCTTTATCTGTCCTAGTTTTTGCAGTCTGATGAAGAGCAGTTTCAAACAAGAGCTATTGAGCTAGTAATTATATGGAAATAGAAGTTGCCTAGTTTTTAAAAACTTAAAAAGGAGTTGCCTGGTATTTGTTATTGGCAAAGAGTAACCAAAGAGATTAAATATATAAACGGTGAAAAAGTCAGATACACGTTTCTCATTGTATTTTGGACTACTCTGTGTGTACAAATGATACCGCCTCTGAAAGATACCCTCACACCACGAGGGAGAGGAGTGAGACCCTGGTGTCATGGGAAACTGCATTCAGAATGGCTTACAGCCGCTTCCAAGACTTGTTATGAAGCTTCACCCAAACACCAACCCTGAACCACAATGACTCCTTTTGAAGTGAAACATTATACCTCTATCTTGTTCTCATAAGAGAAAAAAATCTACAATGAGATTTTGAATCGTCTCTGACAAATTTCCTGTCAGTTAATTTCAGACATTTAATAGAATTTTCCCTATCTTGACCTAGTTGCAAAAGTATGTATTTTCATTCATACACAAATGTTCGTGCATATGTGGGGTGTGTGTGTGTGTGTGTGTGTGTGTGTGTGTGTGGTGTGTAGTGTCACCTTGACATGGCATTTATTCCCTTAATGCCTAACTTAACCTGGACATTTCCACCTTTTAGAAAAACCAGTAAATTTGGAGAGCTCCACGGACTCACAACTAATGATAAATTTGTAGAAGGTATGTACAAAGTGATGTTAGACACCAAATCCTACTGGAAGGCACTTGGCATTTCTCCCTTCCATGAATATGCAGAGGTGAGTTGTTTTTATTTTTATTATTTGTTGTTGTTTTTAATCCCATGAAATGCACAATTTGCACTTTGCATATCATGGAAATGCATACCATCAAATGTCATTAAACTAGGACAGTTTCCCTTTTCCATTTCTACAATCAGAAATCCACAAAACTCTGAAAAGCAAACTTTCTAAGTTTGGTAAAAACTCATTTAATAACATGACCTAAACTTACAGAGATGCTCTTTATAGTGTTCATTCATTGTACTGAATATGAATATTTGTTTGCTGAAGAATTATTAATGTTAGATTAGAATAATTATTAATGTTAGTAGGGTGTTATGTAACAAATGATAGATGTATTATTTTACTTCTCTAAATCTGAAAAATTCTTCATTCCAAAACACATCTAGAACCCAGAGGCTTGCATAAGTGATTTGGGACAATGCATATAGAGATAGTGAATTTGCAATAATAATAGCAACACAATAGATGACATTTATCAAGCATATGTCACATGCCAGACACTGTCATGTTTTCTATATTTAACTTATTTAATCTTTATAAATAACCAATTGGAGTCAGTCTTATTTCTATCCCCATTGTACAGATGAAGAAAATGAGGTTCAGGGAAGTTAAATAACTTGCCACAGGACTAGTAAGGGAAGGAGCAGTAATATATTTACTAACAGGGTTCAGGCCGAACTATGCCTCAGCTGTCTTTCTATGAGAAGCCAAGCTAATAATAATAATGATGATGATGACAACAACAGCAATAATACTACATTTGTAATCCTTGGTGTACACTGCATTCCTCTATTTATGAGGTAGTTATACATGGGCCCAATCTCCTTGCCTCCTTCTTGTCTGTAATTCTTTAAGTCATTTAAAACAGATGGCTGTCATGGAAATAGAATCCAGACATGACGTTCAGAGTTAAAGATCAACTAGTTTTATGAAAAATAGCTCGGCCTGAAAGGGAGTCATTCTCTCTGGCTTAGTCATGGGTGAGACTTTCAATTGACATAAAATGGTTCTTTTAGTAGACAATGTTGCCAGGGAAACCATCGGGCATTATTTGACTTCTGGGGCCCACAAGTCACCAAGGAAGCCCCAGCTACCAAGAAGCATGTCTCTGGCTACTTCTCAGCAAGGCAGCAAGACACGGAACCTGGTCAAGGTCGGATGCAGGGTTTTTATGGTGCCCACCACAAGACACATGGCCCTAGAATTTCAGGTCCTACCCTAGAGAACTGGAGCAGCCTCCCTGTGACCCTTGTCTGCCCTGGATCTCAATCTGATGAGACCACCTGAGAAGATTCTCTGCCGTACTACCCATAACTTATTGATCCTATTTACTAGACATCAGCTTCCTTGTCTGCTCTTCACTCTTTTTGTATTCATTCAATAAACATTTTAAAAATAAAAACCTTCTACATGGCGAGTGCTCTGCTAGATGCTATAGACTCAGAAGTGAAAATACATACATCTCTGCCCTTGGAATGTATTAGGCAGGACCATGAGCCCAACTTGGAGCCTAAATGAATAAGGGGAATGAAAGAGAATAAGTAGTCAAGAATGAGCCCCACTGCTGCACTTTGGTGACCGGTTGGTACCTGAGGGGTTTAGCCATGAATTTCTTTCCTGCCAGCTTCTTCTGATAAGTACCTCCCAGAATGTTGCTATCCTTCAGCATTAGTCAGCTCTTCCTTGGCCAATGGCCTAGGTGACATATTAGGCTTACAGAGAAAATCAGGAATTTCCTTTAGAACTCTTAGTCCTCTTCATTGAATGAGAGAGACTGGGCATAGATTATGCCATTTACAATTTTTAGGAAAAATAAAATGAGGATGGAGCCCAATGTCACTCTAAGAGATAAATCTTCCTGGTTTGATTCCAGAAACTTGGCCTTTTAAGGAATGTTCTTTCTCCTTCAGAGATTCTTAAGTGAATCTCACCTTCTCTTGCCATGACATATTTATGTTTTTGGTGTGGTTCAATTAGATATTTTTTTCTCCTGTCCCCCAAGTAATCAATGTCTTCTTCTTCTATATTTGGAACCAAATGTACTATCCAGGGTGTGTCCACAGTTCAGTTGAGGGTCTGTATACAAAATAAGTAAAATAAAACACCTCCTCACTGTCTTCTATTACTCTCCTGAACCAAAGTTTTCCCTAACTGCCTCAGTCCAAGCACCTAACTATCCCAGCACCTGAATCTCAAAAGCTCTACTAAATTTGCCTGAAGTACCTGACTAACTGAAACAACACTGTGATCGACAATTTGCTCAATTAGAAAGCTTAAATGAGCTCCAACACATGTTGTATATTTCAGAATTCCAGCATGATCTTCCACACTCTGCTTGTATCGTAAATAGAACCCTATCTATAATGCTTTTACTCCATATTTCATTGCTTGTAACATACATAAAATATATGTATAATGTTCATGGTAGAAAATGCAAAGGAATAATAAGAGAAAAATCTCTGAGTTTGGAGACAGGAGCCTTAGCTCTGTCACTGTGTGACTTTGGACCAAACACTCTAAATTCAGAGCTCTCATTTGCTTATCTGTAAAAAGAGAAGAATGTTCCTTCCAGCTCTAACATTCTAGGGCTCTAAGTCTGCAGTGGGATTGACAGTCACCATTCTTAAGACTTCAGGTCATTGAATGCCAGTTTCTACATTCTCCCCTCCTTTTTCTGAAACCAAGAAAACAGACAAAAGCACTTAGGCTTTCTGTGATTTCCCTCAATTAGGCTAGGGCCACCCTAATTTTCAGTGTGATTTCACAAAACAAACAAACAAACAAACAAACAAACAAACAAACAAACAGAGAGACCTGATCACACAGGCATTAGAAAAGAACTCTTGTTTTAATGACTCCAATGGTTAGCTTGCCAGCATATTTTGATTTTTGCCTTTTGTTTTAACTGTTCCAAAAACTAAATATAATAAAAATAATTACTTTACCACTGGACTTCCAGTAGTCTGTCTGTGACTCATGCTTTTGGACTCTGTTAGAAATGGATCCTGTCTGTGTTCTCTCATAGGTGGTGTTCACAGCAAATGACTCTGGCCAGCGTCAGTACACCATCGCTGCTCTGCTCAGCCCCTACTCTTACTCCACCACAGCCCTCGTCAGCGACCCCAAAGCATAAGGGACCCCTCCTTTGGTCAATTTGGAGAAGGAGAAATAGGATTTTATGAAACCAATAGTATTCCATTTTTATTAAAGCAGTGTTTTCACTTTATAAGCTATGTTAGAAACTCAGGCAGAGACAATAAAACATTCCTATTAAAAGCACTTTCCATCTTTTTTTTTTTAATTCCCTTATTGTCCTCCCCAAAAGAGAAAAAGTCTGAATTTTACAGAGAAGCAAAGGAACTCAAAAAGTCTCTAGCTGAACTCCAAGAGATGTTTAAGTTTCTATTGTCTTTCAAGTTAAGCACATACTCAGCATGGTCTGCAGCCATTAAAAACACACATTCTGAACATGGAAAAGCTTTATTTTCCTTTAATCTTAAGTGCAAAGCAAAGGTCAGATTCTAAGGGTCTACTTATTTACTCTGTGCATTCCCTTTAAGTGCTTTACTGATTTCAAGAGTAGCATGGCTCCACCAAGACAAACCTGCAGTGACTCAGGCCCTCTGATCCCATTCAGAGCAACTACGCACCACTTGGCCAGCTAAGGGATGTAATCAGAGAACCCGCACACCCTCAACTCACTTAGACTAATCCAATATTCATATATCGAGAGATAACTATATGCCAAGCACTATTTTAGGTGCTCTGAACATACAGAATAAGATCGAGTGCCTGCATTTAAAGAGCTCACATTCTGTTGGGAAGATAACTATGCCAATGAGATTTGACAGAGGCTTTGGCACAAGGCACAATGAGGGTAGGAAAGGAGTAGCAAACAGCTTGGAGAAGTCAGAGAAGAACTCAGAATAAATGTCACTTAATCTGAATCTTGGTGGCTTATCAGATAGAAAAGAGAGGAGGTGTTCTAGGTAGAGAGACCACAGATTGCAAGGTTAGGCCAAATGAAACAACTTGGTAAACTGAGGGAACAGATAGGGATGCAGAATGTTGAAATGTAGGGAGTATTAAGGTGGGCAAGGGTTGTGCTGCTGTAATGACTTCATATCTCTGTGGCTGAACAAAATCAAAGTTTATTTCTCCTTCGTGCCAAGTTCAATGCAGACATTCTTGGTCTGGTTACTCTCAGGGTGGCTTTCCTCCAAATGGTGACTCGGGGCCCCATTTGACTTACTTTGTGGCTTCAACAGACATCCAATCAGCAAACTGGAGGAAGAGAGAAAATATGGTATTAGCCCCCTCTGTGATGAAATGTCACAGACATGATTTCTACTGACATTTCACTGGCCAGAAATCATTACATGATCCCATTTTAGATGACCTTAGCAATGTGGCTCCTGGCTGGTTGTTTCCCAGAACAACCTAGCATGCTGGAAAAAAACACTAATCTGTGTTGGTCAACAGCCTTCTCTGCCATAGAAAGATTGATAGCGGTAGGAAATGAGGCTGAAGTGAAGGCTTTATAAGCGGCCTGTTAGAGCTGTGAATTTATCTTGTAGACATATATGGATCCATTGATGGGAACCTTGTCATCAGTCATCTCCCGTGTGTCTGAGGCAGAGTAGTTACTTCTTGTACATAATCTCTAACCAGGATTCTCCAGGAAAACCTGAGCTAGACCCAAGGCTCAGGCCTAAACATACATAAACGAAGTTTCCATTTTCCTCCAAATTCAAATCTAAAATCTTGTCATGTTCTAGCTTGCTGTGTGGAGAGAGCAAAACATTTGAAAGGAGTAGAATGTATGTTTGGACTTTTTAACATGTACTGAGCCTTCTCGCAAAAGTATGTGGTAAAATCAATGACTTTGATTAATGAGGTTAGCAAGTCCTTCTTTTATGTATATTGGGTTAATGACTATGAAGTTGTCATTTTTATAAATTAAATGGTCAAATATTGGCAATTTCATAAGATTCAATCTAATATCTACAGTAATTGTATTGGTCTCTGACCTGTCTGTTTATAAAATGCCACATTTCCATTTGGCTTCTGTAAAATAGCTATGGATTTTTATTACCCACGTAATTTGAAAATATGAATCTTTCATATATATGTATATATATATGTGTGTATGTGTATGTGTATGTATATATATGAATTGAATTTAACTTTCCTGCCCCCACTTCCTCTTGCTATCAACAAACTTAATCTTATCCATTGAAATCAACTCAGTTTAACTTCCTATTTAATACTCAGCCCTCTCCTTTCTTTCTGAGTTTCATCTGCCCCCTGGAAGCTATGTAGCATCTTGGCATAAATTGGAAGATGTAGTCTGGTCCTTGATTGTCCTATGTCCATGCTGTTTCTACTGAAATGATCGTTTTCTCCTTCGTTCTTTGTTGTTATGTGTTAATATCTTGGCTTATACCCTTTCATGACCATGGTTATGGGTTGAATTCTGTCCCCTAAAAAGATGTGTTGAAGTCCTAACACCCAGTACCTGTGAATGTGACATTATGTGGAAATAGTCTTTGCAGATGTAATTAGTAAAAATGAAGTCATTAGGGTGGGTTCTAATCCAATATAGTAGCTTATAGGTTCTCAATTAATTTAGACAGTGAGGAACTGCTCACCCAAAGATTTGACATAGTGATGAATGCTAACAAGAAAATCCTGCCAATAAACCACAAATGCAAAGTTATGTGGTTCTAACATATCAAACTGGTGGCCTCCAGTCAGCCCTACTCTCTTTGCCTGAGATAAGTATATTAATTCCATTCACGGCCTCTCCTACTAGTCAAAAACCATAGGCATCTCTTACTTCCCTAAAGCTAGAGAGATCTTCATCATGTTTTATCAATTTCCCAATGAACTCAGGAATAAGGGTGTGCAAAGATTTCACCTGGTGATGGATAAATTTGGGGAGTGGGACAGTGATGATTAATTTTATGTATCAATTTGGCTAGGCTATGGTATCCAAGTCTTCGTCAAACACCAGTCTCGATGTTGCTGTGAAGGTATTTTTAGACGTGACTATATTTTGCCCAGCTTTATTGGAATATAATTGACATTGTGTACATGTAAGATATAAAACATGATGACTTGAGTACATATATATTGTGAAAAGATGACCACAATAAGGTTAGTTAACACATCATCATATCACATGGTTACTTTTTTCCCCCGTATGGTTTTAGATATAAATGTAGAAAAGAAATGGAATGTTCTCTTTGTACATACCTCTAACTATATTTTTATCTCTCTAGCCTTCCTCTCCTCTCCCTCCTCAAGGCCCTGTGTTGTGCTTTGGAAGACTAGGAAGAAGTGGTTGGGATTGATGCTGC